ATTCGGATGGGGAGCCCACTTCCGGTCTCTCTCATCCCAGGGGAGATGGACAGCAATACAACAATCGTGCAGTATAAATTGGCTGGAGCTCCATGCCGTTCTCCTGGCCCTGCGCAGCTTCCTCCCCCAGGTACGCGGGCAACATGTCCTCATTTTGACAGACAACATCACAGCCAAAGCACACATCAACAAACAAGGGGGCACACATTCAATCCAGCTAATGAAGGAAGCTGAGCGCCTCTGTCGCTGGGCAGAGACCAACCTTCTGTCCATCAAGGCAGAGCACATATCAGGACTCTCAAATATCCAAGCAGACTGGTTAAGCAGGGCCACCATAGACCAATCGGAGTGGCGCCTCCACCCATCCCTGTTCAGAGAGGCAACAAGGATATTCGGGAAACCGGTGATAGACCTGTTTGCCTCCCCCCTCAATACCCAGCTCCCAAGATTCCTGTCAAGATACCCCTCCCAAGGAGCGGAGAATCACAATGCACTCCGCTGCCCATGGCCCCCGGGGCTCCTCTATGCATTCCCTCCTCTGCCTCTGGTACCCAGGGTTATCCAGAAGCTGCTCCACGAAAGGGCGGAGTTGCTCCTGGTGGCCCCTTACTGGCCCAGACGACCGTGTTTTGTGGATCTCCGCACCCTCTCAGTGGCATCTCCCTGGAGGATCCCACCAGACAGAATTTCCCTGTCCCAGGGGCCCCTCCTGCACCTGGACCCGCAATGGCTCCAACTGACCGTCTGGAGGTTGAGCGGAGCACTTTGATGGAAGGACAGCTCTCAAATAAGGTCATTGACACCATCCTAGCTGCCAGACGACCATCAACAATCCGAATTTATAACGCCACATGGGCCATCTTCTGTCGTTGGTGCAACAAACTTCAAATCAACCCAGTTTCTCCCTCCATAGCTCAAATTTTAGAGTTTCTCCAGGAGGGACTTGACAAGGGGCTGTCTCCTAACACGCTAAAGCGTCAGGTAGCTGCCCTGTCATCAGTCCTTTCTTACGAGGGTCTCAGTTCCCTCTCTCACCACGCCCTCATCCAAGCTTTTCTTAGAGGGGCTACCAATTTACTCCCCCCCCCAGTCCACCGTTATCCCACCTGGGACCTCAATAAAGTCCTCCTCTCCCTCACCAAAGAGCCTTTCGAGCCCTTGAGGGAGACGGGTCTCCAATTCCTAACATATAAAGTGGTTTTCCTGGTGGCCATTACATCAGCCCGACGTATCTCAGAAATAGCAGCTCTGTCTGTCAGGCAAGACCTCTGTGTCTTTCACACAGATAGGGTGATCCTCCGACCCGACCCCACCTTTCTGCCAAAGGTTAATTCGGCTTTTCACAGAGCCCAGGAGCTCATCCTCCCCAATTTTTGTCCCAATCCATCGCAGGAAAGGGAACAACAATGGCACAAACTCGATGTAAGACGCGCTCTGTGTATTTACATCAAACGTACAAAGCCCTTCAGGAAGTCGGAGGCCCTATTTCTGTCTTTCCAACCCAAAACACTGGGTCACAAGGTGTCATCTTCTACCATAGGACGATGGGTTAGGGCGGCCATAGCTAAATCGTATCAGTCCCAAGCCCTTCAAGTTCCTAAGGGCATAACAGCCCATTCAAGCAGGAGCGCAGCCACCTCTGCGGCCTGGGCTACCCAGGCACCAATAATCGAAATATGCCGGGCTGCGACTTGGGCCTCACCTTCCCCCTTCATTCGGCACTATAAAATTGATGTGTTTGCCTCTGCGGAGGCTTCATTTGGCAGGCGGGTCCTGCAGCGGGTTTTTAGGGACCCTAGGGAGATCCAGGACCAGACGGAGTCCCTCCCTTAGGACAGGCCAAGCTTTGGTATGTCCCATCTCTGGATGCTCCGAGCAGCTCATAGGAGAAGGGGCGTTGGTACTTACCTGATACGCCCTTTCTATTTGAGCTGCGAGGAGCATCCAGCCCCACCCTAATTTCCGTCTGGTGGGGGCCTCTCCTCTCGGCCAAGGACCAAAAAAATTTATTTAGGTGATAGGGATAGGAGCAACCCTTCTTTTTCTCTCGCATTCGCAAAAACTGGGGAACTCCCTGGAAGAGTCACGTGATGAAGGAGGAGCGTTCCTCAATTCGAGCTCAGCCTAAGCAAGCAGAGACTCTGGATGCTCCTCGCAGCTCAAATAGAAAGGGCGTATCAGGTAAGTACCAACGCCCCTTCCCATTGACTTCGCTTTTCAGAAGGTTGCAGAAGTTGATCACATGGCTGCGGAATGCTGCAACTGTCATGAATACATGCCAAGCGTCCAAATGTTGATGACATGACATATGGGATGCTGCAATGGTCATGTGAAAAATAATCATAAATCACTTTTTTCAGTGCTGATGTAAGTTCGAACAGTCACTAAATGAATGGTTGTAAGTCGAGGACTATGTGTATTACACTTCCAGTTTGACGAACAGCAAGATAATTACAGCTGATTTGCAAAGGATTGGTCACTCATTGGGCTAAAACTGTGTCAAAATAATAGCTCCTACATGCGTTCACTTTTGCTTGTCCCCTTTTTAGATATTTTAACGTATCAGCATTAGAAGATTATTTATTTTAATCCTGTTGGTTTATTCTCAGGAATAAACTAGGGGCTGAAATAAAATAAGAAAACTAGGAGGAAATCTGTATGAGGTTTTGGAATGTAGTATTTTGTAATTGAACAGAATATCCATTTTTTTTGAATGGGGAATGATAGTAAGGCTCATGTTGGACTTATTTTAATATTAAAATAAGGCCCCCTTTTAAAAATGTTCAGTATTTCATTAGATCTTTTTCACTTTTAAAAGAAACATAATCTGATCTAATGAACTTGCTATAAAAAGTTTAAATCCCTCATGGCCATAGCTCTCAATGACATCACGTTTCCAGAGATCATGTGACCAATCTTGGACATTTTCAACATATGATAATATATGCTTACAGACAGGGAGACAGCTTTTACAATCTTCAATTTATTTATTTATTTTTGGACTAGATTCCTTGTTTCTAAAAAGCCAGTTAAAGTGTAATATAATTGTTCTTCTTTTGGATTGATAATTTAATTTTAAGGACATGATAACTAACCTATGCCAGTTGTGGAAATGGCTGCTTAAAGTGACCAGGAAAAGGACTGAGTCACCCTAGTTATGGTAGACAACACTATTGATTCTCATAGGTGAGTTAGGACTTGAAGCATGAGCATTTTTGTCCCCCAAGATGTCTCAAGTGTTTTTTTTATATGGTTGACAACAGTATACTTTTGTAATATCTATGAATGTTGAAAAATTGAGCCCTTATATCAGAGTGGTTCTACTTCTTCTGAGACCCAGTATATAAGACCAGTAGAAGTAACAGAGTTCTGAACAAATGTTAAAAGATCAGCCCAGTTCATAACAGCAGTTTTCTGTACACTTCCCTAATATTGTGTCCTTTTCTTTGGACATTAAGAAGTATATATACTCTGAACATGGAGGTTTCACATAATTAAAGTGGCTTAGGATATAAATCATAACAAAATAGAAAAGAATTGGATTTTTAATTTAGTGGGTTAAACTGCAGATGGTCCTTGCTTACCAACTGCTACTTCATCAACCGCTTGAATTTATAGCGCTAAAAAAAAAGAAACACAATTGGTGCTTGAAATTGTGGTGGTTGCAGTGTCCTTGCAGTCTGTGATCATGATCACATGATGGGTACTTGGTGACTAGCCAGCATTTATGATGGTGGCAGTATCTCAAATGAGCTAATTTATGAAATGTGTCCAAAATCCTGGACCCATGACTCCTATACAATTGAAATTTGGCAATTTTTATAAAACATTTTATGACATAAAATCATAATAAAGCATTTTATAACATAATACAAAATCTCAAAAAATATTTCCTTAGGTCAATTGTTGACTTTTGATTGTGCTATATAATGCAACATGAGCTACTTTCAAGGCAGATGCATTTCTGAATACCTCCCTTAATTTTAAACAACTTTTCAATTACATTAATAGCCATTGTTGAAGGTGTTGAGGAATCTAATAAGGAAATATCTCTGAAACAATGATACAGTGGGGAACTAGCTGTCTTAGTTATTTTTTAAAAAGCAAGCAATCTATAGTTATTGTAAACAAGTTCCAGTCAGTATAGTTTTTTATGTACATTTTCTGAGCTAAAAAATAATCTAAGTTGGATGTTTGATGTTTGTGGATGTTTGATACATCAAATTGCAATAGAGAATTGTGAAGAATTTGACTGTTGTGCAGAAATAATCTGTCGTAAATTTCTTTTAAATGCCTTATATTATTAAGGGCATTTAAGACAGTGTCTATACATAAACAGAAACATATAATCACTAACATATAAAGCCACTGTGGACTTATATCTCACAATATTGTGACCACATCTTAGCAGCCATTTTTTGTACCTGTTGAAATTTCCAATTATATTCAGAGGCAACTCCATGTGCCACAGCAAGCATTAAATAATTTGTCCTAGAATGATACAGTTCTCCCCACCCCAAAAAATACCTAGGAATTGTTGCTGTTTGGATTCTTGTGTTACTGTAACAGTCCTGGTCTCCTGGGCAGAGAAAAATTCTAAGTTCTAATATCAATAGAGACCTGGTTAAGATCCTAGAAACTTGTGAGTTTTGCCAAGCAGCCTCCTATATTAATGTGCAGTTGAAGGGAGAATTTTCGGAGTGCCTTTTCCTCCCCAAAAGATGGCTTGTGAAATCTAGACATTCATGGGTTGGCACAGTCTTTTTGATTGAAAGATTAACTTTGAAACGAGATGGGTGGCACATAAATTTCATAATAAATAAAATAAAAATAAAAGGCTTTAAAATTTCCTGATATGACTTAATTGGCCAAGAGGCTGCTTACAAGAAGTTTTTTGCTGGGCTCAGTTTTATATTTAGCTGAGAAGGGTAGTGGTTCAGCTACCATGCTATCGACTTACTCCTTGGAACACAACCTACAGAACAGACTAAAAGGGAAGCCCCTTTATTTGCTGAGCCGAATTGCTTGAAAGGCTGAACTTTGGGTCTTAATCTCAAGAGGAGCTTTTGTTCTTTGAGATTTTCACACAGATCAGAAATGATCTATACTTAAATGTTAATCATTTGGAAAGGAAGCTTATTGTGAACAAGTCTGTTGACTGAACATACTCTTTGAGATTTGCTGCTTTGTGAAGAGGCATGGATGGGAATTTGCTGTCCTCAGAGGGGTGTCCGCCTCTTCAGAGAAATTTCAGTGATTTAGGGCCACACCATCCTACTAAGAAATCTAAAAGGGGTGTTCTTTTTTTTGAGGTGGAGATTCTGGATGCCAAGACCCGGGAAAAGTTGTGCTTCCTGGATAAGGTAAGTGTCCTAATCTCGGAAGAGGGATTTGAAGCTGAAGTTGACTTTTTGTCATTGCAGAACATTTTTGTAATTGTTTTAGCCTTTAAAAAATAGCATTGTACTTTTAAACTGAAAAGGTGAGTTATTTACTAAAAACTGCCATAGATCAAAGCTTGAATGAAATATACATGAAGTCAGAACTTCAGTTAGCAAGTGAGATCTACATGTGCAGGACTTGTAGTTGGCAATGTGAGATATTCATGCGTAGGAAATTATACACTATTGCAAAATATGTCAATATTTGCTATCAAAAGGCAACTACACATGTTGCAAAACTACAAGAAATATTTTTGTTTAATTCCCAAGTTATTCTATAATCATGACCACCTATCTCTGAATGTGTTAATCATCTTTTAGGCTGTGTTTGATATCAAGACTTTTAGGACAGTTCTAGAATTATGAGTGATATGGCCACCACTCATAGAGTTGTTGTTGTTTTTTTAAATGCTGGTGTGATACCTCCCTATGCAGATCCTAAGTAAGGAACAAAGGCATGAACCCTAACTCCATGGAGATAGATTTGTATTATAAATGGAAGACAGAACTTTAAATAATTGAAAACAGTTTGTTATCTTCAATCCCACTTTCATTCTTACATAATAATTGCACTATCACTGACTTAATGGTTAATTTCCCAGAAAAAAATAATTCTTCTGGATCTGCACGTCTACCATTGTAACTAGACACACCTTCAGATTTTGGATATATCCAAACCCCCCAAATAGGGAAGTTATTTTGATTTAGTTTAGATAATGAAATGAAATGCTATAATTGTTTATGCATATATCTGGTTGGCTTGAGGAAACACAAATAAGTGGACTTCAGATTTTTTGTTTATTTCAAAAAGTACAATCCACAGAAAATTTCCTAGTGGCCAATTTTTCAATCTTTAAAAGGTTCAGGACTGTAAGGATTCTTGTATAAAATAGCTATTGGTGCATTTTGGCTCAAGAATTTACTCAAAGACACAGTACCAAAAGTATCTGTAAGACAGGTAAACTTTTCAGACACAAGTCTACTGGGTGGAATTTGTCATTGCAAAGAATGACAAATCCCATCCAAAAGTGCTAGCCAATCTGATTAAGGGGAGGATTTTGGACCCTTAATATGGTGCCACAGTTACAAATGGCTCTCTGTATATGCATTGTCAATCCTTTTTCTGCAGAAAGTAGATCAGAGAGATATTCTTTTTGAGATGCATGTTCTTTTGAATGAGATAAACTGGGAAGGTACAAAACATGTTTATGGGAAAGGAAAGGAAAAACAGAGATTTGGAGGAGAGCACCAAAGAGGGAAATTCAGGAATTCTTTTTTTTTTTTTTGTCCCAAAGATTTACTAACCATGGCAGTTCAGTTTTGTGTCAGCACTGAGTGATAGTAGCATCTTGCCCTTTTTCATTTTGATTCCTATGGGTATTGTTAATCCTTTCAGACAAATGAGACTCCTGCATTGACCGTTGAGGAAGCAAAGAGACTAAAAATAGAGATGAGACTAAAGTAACATCCAAATAATGATAGTGGTCAGCAAAGCATAATCCTAGTTTCTTCCAAGTTATATGCCAGGCATGACATTTGGACCCTAGTCTTACGTCCCAGTAACTGATTTCTTATCTAAAGTGTTACTGTCTTCCATAGCCTTGCATTGATGTTATTTTACTATTTTGTAATATGGCAGCACAAATCAGTAAATAACCTTTTTTTTGTATGGCTGCTATGTAGGTAGACATAATGACTACAAATTCTAAAAATATAAAAATGCAGCTCGGAATTCCAGCACAACATTCCTACACCCATTTTATTATTATTTTATTGCAAGCATTATAAGTCACTTTAATCAAGCAAATAAAAGTAACTTACAAAAGTTACTTATATTTGCAATAAATATAAGCAATGAATCAGCCACAGAGAAAGCAGATGAACACATATTTTCAAAACTCTTTCAACTCAATAACAGCACAACAAGAATAAGCAGTATCCATACACATCTCAAGTCAGTATGTCATCAATTGCCAACTGCCAAGAACTCCTCTACAAGGGAGCCGGGTGGTTAGGAAATGCCATCAGTGCAATTTCCAAAACAGGATCCGCACAAAACAAACGAAGCGTGCACTCCATCCACTAATGTTAGATATATCTATCAAATATTAAATATAGTGTCTAAAAATCTAAAAACTAACACAGATGTTTCAATCATGTACAAATCTGTATGGCCATTTCCTCTAAACCCATAATTCTGCCTCTCCAGCTAAATACTGTCCTTTGCTAAACAACCTCTTTTTTTTGTTTTCTAATTTTGTTTGTTTTTATAACAATGTCAGTAAAATAAACTCCTTTTGACTACATTGTTTCCTTTGTCTTTCACCCCTGGTTGGGCTTCCATACAGGATTGGAATTGGGCAGAATAAATGATTAGAATGAAAGTATAAATGCTGTTCACAATTATAGGTGGTGCCTGTTGTATGAGAACTACACCAACTTTCTCATTTGCTTATTGATTATTACTTATATGGCACATTTTCACCACAGAAAACATATATTTAAAAGGAAAGTATTCATTTAAAAAATCTTTCCCAATACGCACCTAACAATGTTTCTAATGCCCACACTGCAATTAGGCAACCTTTTTCACAATCTTTGTACATGCAGATTATGGTATTAATTTTATTATTTCACTTTATGTGGGAATTTTTTGCACTGTATCCAAAGCATCCATAGTTCCGGTATTAAAAGTTTGAGTTGAATCAAAGAACTTTTGCTTCATTTGTTTTCATTGATTGATTATTTGATTGCTTGATGGAGTATTTTTGGTAGCTTGGGAATGAATATGAGAATAAATTAAAACCACCTAATATTCTTCTTCAAATGAATATAGGTGCCAACTGTTTCTTAGTTTTTCCTACCACTCTCCCCTTTCCCCCCCTCTCCCTTTTTCCATGTTCCAACTTTCAGTATACCCTGCCCCTTGTGCAACTTCTACCTGCTCCACATGGATGAAAAAGTAAGGTAGCCAAGAATTTAAAATTGTTTCCTTTTTCCATCTTTGTAAATATTCACCTACATAGGATTTATATCACACACACACACACACACACACACACACACACACACGCTGCATGCTTTTGTGCCATGCAAAATCTGTTTAACACTTTAAAATGTCTTCTATGCCATATAACATAGTCACTTCAACCTGCAAATCTGTTATTTCACTTTTGTCATTTTTTTTTCTTTTTAAACTTGGAAATAAATCTATAGGCTGCAGGGAATTCTATCTCTGTCATGTATAAGGATTAGGAGAGAGAATACCAGGTAAAGATGTCCCAATGAAAGTATTGGTGGAAGCAGTAATTGGATAGTTATGGATAATTTTGGGCTTAATTGTGGTTGTAAGCCAAGGACTACCTGTATGATTACAAAATTGCCTCCCTATATTTACAAAAATAACACTTCCCTTTTCTATTCTCTAATGGTTTCTAATAATCAAGATCATAGATCAGAAGTTCATACTTCAGAAACAGTACAAATTGAGAAGGTTAAATATTTGAATATTGCTATAACAAACATGTAAAATTATATCTGTATTTCTGTTGCAAGCAAGACAGTTGTTAAGCAGGCTTTGCTACATTTTATGACCTTTCTTGGCATAGTTATTAAGTGAATCACTGCAGCTAAGTTAGTAACAAAATTGTTAAGTGAATCTGTCTTCCCTGTTGACTTTGCTTGTCGGAAGATTTTCAGAAGGAGATCACGTGACCCCTGGGGACACTGCAACCACCATAAACACTTGTCCGTTACCAAGCGTTCCAAATTTGAGCACATGCCCATGGGGATGCTGCAATGGTCATAAGTATGAAAAATGATCATAAGTCACTTTTTTCAGTGTTGTTGTAACTTTGAATAGTCATTAAATGAATGCTTGTAAGTTGAGGACTACCTTCTGTGCAGTGCTTTGGATTTTCTTTGAAACTTGTGGGAACAATGTGCCAGATGTTTGTAACTCATTAAAGGATTTTCCCCCTAGGATTGCATGACTGTAGTAGAGAAACTTGTATAGCAGCCATGCAACCATAGAAAAAGTTGCAAATGCACAGACAATTGTTGCATACATGCTTTTCAATATTCCAAAGACTTCATCTGGATTGAATTCAAACTTGCACCACCCTACTAGATGTAATAAGTTCTTGCCCACAAGCCACTAGGCTGATAAGAATATAGAAGTGTGTGACAGAAGCATATTTCTAACTTATTATCTCTAGCAATGTTTCTGGGGTGTTGGGAGGATATTTTTTCATCACAGCTTTTTTAATTTTCTAACTGACTCATCTAGGATTGCTTTGCTTAGCACACTGATATAAGCTGTATAAGTATATTTCCAGTTTAGACGTAATTTGAATATGCACTTATTATGTCTGAGGCATTTTTATTGTTGCCCGTTTGTCAGGCTAGAAAGTAGTTAAATCAAAGCAGTCTTACTTGATTATACAGAACAGTGTTCTTTGGTTTTCTGATTCCTCTTGTTTGTTTCCTTTCAGGTAGAGCCCAATGCTACCATAACTGAAATCAAGAATCTCTTTACCAAGTCTCGTATGTATAGAAAAATACCACCTTTGTTGTTTATCATATCTTTGTGATGGGTTTCAATGTTGAAAGCGCAGAGCACTTTAATTTATTAATAAAATTAGCTATTGAAAGCTTTTATTACATCACTTAAATAGCATCTTTGAAAATATAATTATTTTTCTTTGATTAGAATCAAAGATCAGTGGCTTCAGCTTATGGATTTATCTTTTTTGTCCCCTTTGTCCCTTTACAGAGTTGAGAAAGAAAAATATGTAGATTAAGAGCATTTTCCCCTTCATTCTGGTTTGTTTCTTGACCAGTTACTTTTATTTGCTGTGGAAGGTAAAGGAATCTGAAGCAGACGAGAGGATCTAAGATTTGTTTGTGTTTTCATCAATTTTCTAGTGCTCGCCAGATCTTTTCGGCTTCAGCTGCCATATGGCCATGTAGGTTATCTGTCTAAACTTGTATAAAACATTTAAAGAAATAGTAACAGCTGTGAGTTTAGTCATATACCCAACTACTTTTAAATAAGTCCTGTTAGTCATGTGTATAGATTGTACTACCAGTATAAGATACTGTTTGGAAATTTTATATATTTACCCGGAAAGAGTTACTTTTCTCTAATTTTTAAATTCTCTTTCTAACTGTAGGGCAAATAATTTTTTGTCTACCTTCATATCTCTAGATTGCTCTTGAGTGCCGCCCGCTGATGGCACTAATGGTTCTGACTCATTATAAGAAAACTTTTATTTTTCTTTTCTCAGACCCTCAGTGGTATCCAGCCCGGCAGTCCCTGCGACTAGATCCCAGTAAGTTGCTATGCTAAAATATCTCCTAATATTAAAATATCTCCTAAGAGAGATTTCCTCTTTTCATGATAAAGTTTTTGGTAAAAGATATGGAAAAGAACAAAAGAAAGGCTGGTACTTGCTTGAATGAGATTGTATTAGATAGAGAATAACATTGGTGTGAACATTATGTGGTTTGGGAATTCACACAAAGGACCTCTTTGAAAGAAATATTTACCTACCAATAGTTAATTGCTAATGGTTTGATTCATGAATGAAGTAAGATAATTAAGCACCTTTCATCTTGGGTTTCTGTGCATATGTTTGTTCTTTAGAACGTAAGGCTAACAATTTCTTCTCTGTTGTGTAGCCAAACAAGCAACTACTGTGTTTGATGTTCAAGACAAAATTCTGAGTCCCCCAGAGTTTCAGTGTGATTTCTCTTTCTTCTAGAGGGAAAGTCTTTGAAGGATGAAGATGTCCTTCAGAATTTGCCAGTTGGTACAACAGCAACATTCTATTTCCGGGACTTAGGTGCACAGATCAGCTGGGTGACTGTGAGTGGTATTTCAGTTCTCCTCAAGAAAACACTTCCCTGTGAATTCCTTTTGCCTTTCTACATTCTGTTTTTGTTCTGTCAGGTATTCCTCACAGAGTATGCTGGGCCCCTCCTCATTTACCTGATGTTTTACTTCCGGGTTCCTTTCATTTATGGCTCAAGATATGATTTCACCTCCAGCAAGTACTCTGTTGTTCAGTGAGTATTTACAGGGCACAATAAACATTTTACCGCTTACATTTAATTTAAACTGAAATATTTTCCACTAAGTGAGCTGAGATCTTTTCCAACGAAGGGCAGCCCCAAACTTAATTCATTTTTCTTCCTTGCTAGGACTAGACGTTTCCCTTCATATATCTTGCTCTTGTAAAGGAAAACTTCCCTGTATTCCAACTGACATTTCTAGAGTTGGCAGAAAAGAATTGGTTTGAATATTGAATTCCTTTTTGCAATTAGAATTGAAGTATCACATAAGGACACAATGTCTTGCTCCATTAGACTAAAGGTACATTCTGTGTAATAAGCTGGATGCATTTGGAAGCTCACAAATTTAGGTAGGAGTAACTGCCACCTTCTACTTACATATTCCAGTAATCAGTATTTAAAGCATACTGCTATGATTCAGGAGGCAGTAAGATGCTATCTATATTGGTAATCATTGATACTCATGGCACAACATAGGAGAACAAACCCTTCATGCCAAGATTCAATAGTCCACCTGCATTTACCACTCTTTCAAAGATAATAAAGTCCACATTTTGGACAGAGAGGGCCGCTGGTTTGAAAGAGGGGTCAAAGAGGCCATCGATGTCAGAATTGAACATCCCTCTCTCAACAGAGGAGGTGGGGCACAACACCATCTATCTCCAGTCTAAAACACAGCCCTTTCAACAGTTCCAAGAAGACTCCACACCATTTGCACTACTCAGGTCACCCTGAGGAACACAGATAAGCCTGCAGGTAGCCTCAACAACTCTCTTAAAGAATGAAAATGACCAGCTGTCTTCAAGGAGTTCCCAACCATCCAGTCAGAGCTGGAGAACCTTCTTAGATAAGAAATTAAATGTCTTCAAAGAAAAGAAAGTCCAGTTGCCTCTTGAAAAAGCACTTTGGGACAACCATGACCTGAATGATTAAGAATTTCCATCGACATTTGCCTATTTGACACTCTGCATGGAACAGTTTTTCCAAGACAGTCATTTCAGCAGTCTTCAATTTCAGGTCCAGCAACATAAATTTGGTTTCCAGGCCTGCCTGCCTACCCTTCTTCACATTGTTAGTACTGATGTGCATCCAATCTACTGGTTCTAGTAGTCCAGCATTACCTATCAAGCTCATCTAGATCAGGGGTCGCCAACCTTTTGGACCTCAGGGACCACCAAACTCATAATTTTAGATCCCAGGGACCACTAACCGGTTCTGTGGGCGTGGCCTAATTTGTGGGTGAGGCTTGGTGGTCTTGTGACTGGCTGGGCATGACTTGTATGTAAATATTATAAATATTTATATAAATATTGAATTTTTATAAAAAAAGAGCAACTTTTACCCAAAATCAGGCAAAGCAGGCAGATTGAGTTGCTCACAGAATCACAGATTCATTCAGAGATCTATCTGCCATTGGCTAGCTCAGTCTGTCACATAAAATTTGCTAGCAAGCAAACTCACCAAATTAACTCACAACACACCATGCATGTAAACATTGAATTTTTTATTAAAAAAGAGCAACTTTTACCCAAAATCAGGCAAAGCAGGCAGGCAGATTGAGTTGCTCACAGAATCATTCAGTGATCATTGGCTACCTCGGTCTCTCAAATTTGCTTGCCGTGAGTCTGCACTGAAATTGCTTGCAAGCAAACCTTCAGTCCAAAGGGAGGTTCGGCTATGCTGAGCCGAAGATCTAAAGACTAGCTAGAAAGCAAGAAATCCAACCTTTTCCTGCTTCCTAGCTAATCTAAATCTCTCAGCACAGCAGAACAGATGATGGTCGGAAAAAGGAAAAATAGCAATTTAGCAGGCAAGTTTACCGGGTAAGGAGTGAGTGGGCGGGGAGGGTTCCCGTGGGCCATGTGGGTGGTGCAGCCTTGTGTTTCTGCGCAGCCTGGATTAATTGCTTTGTGGGGGTGCTCTGGGGGTGAGATTTCTCTGCAGCCCACCAAAATTTTCTCACGGCCCACCGGTTGGCAACTGCTGATCTAGATATCACATGATGTCTGCATCTTCAGAGTGGGAGGACAAGCCACCATATGGTTGGCAAGCTGTTGTACTTCTATTTGTCAAAGGATGATAGAAATATAATAATAGGATAGCTCAATAATAGGATAGGATAATTAATAATAGAATAGTAAGAATTCCTAGAAGCAAAAGTTCTTCAGTACTAGAAGCATCCTCCATGAGGTAATATATGTGTTCAGTCACAAAGAGTGGATTCATTCTTAAACTTCCTTTCTTCTTCCATGGGTTGAGCGCCTCCTACCCTAAAGAGTTTTATTTTTCTGTCATTAATGAGGAACCATGGTTGGGATGAGATGCACCATAACCCTTGAAGGCCTCTTCTGCCACCCTCACTGTCTCTCTTAGCTTCTCCAGTTCAGTTACTTGGAAAATGGCCTTTTCCAATTAGTTCCCATTGATCCCAAGACATGGCCAAAACAATAAAAGCCTTCATGGCATAGGGCAAATATTTGAGAGATCACCTCTCTCCAATTGTAACTCTATCTATCTATCCCACCATATCCAGCAGGAGAAAGATGCTACAGATTCTGTCTCTTAGGGAATGTCATTTGGCAGGGCTCAGGAAGAAGACCTTTTCTGCCCCTTTAGACCATCATCTCCCAGAGATTAGATTTGCCCCAACCCAGCTATCCTTGTGTAAGGTCTTAAAGCAGACTTGGGCATTTCACAGCCCACTGGCAGTCCCAGTCCAGCACGCAGCAGTGGCATCAAGTGGGACAGCAGCAATGGAAGCAAAGTGGTGGAAGCAGAGCAGTAGCGGGGGTGGGGGTAGGGCAGCAATGGCGGGGGTCAGAGGCGGCTCCCCACAACAGTCCCAGTTTGTCATATAACCCCTTGGGAAAATTAATTGTCCAGCCTGCCTTAAAGTCATGGTTGGATCACCATTGGGAAGCTGAATTTGTTTCAAAGTGTATGCAATGCTTGTGCTGGTTTGTTTATTATTTGGTTATTTAGGTTTTTTCTTTCAACTGATTTTTTTTTATATATAGTTATGTAGTGCTTGAACTGCTGTTAGCTACTTAAGAGTCAATAATTTTAGGTGGTTGGCCATATACATTTAAATAATAAATAAATTAACATTGGAACCATGGATATACCTTATCCTTTGGCTGATAATAAATCAAATACAGTAGAATTGCATTTGCATTTTTTTGGTAAGGTAGCGATTCTATTGTCAGCCATCTCTGTTTTCCTTTCCTTTCTAGCCTGGCTTGCATTTGTCACTCTTTCCATTATGTCAAGCGCCTCCTCGAGACCCTTTTTGTCCACAGATTCTCCCATGGAACAATGCCTTTACGTAACATCTTCAAGGTAATGACATTTTCAAGCAACATAGCTATAGACTAAGCAACATAGCTATAGACTTTTCTGCTGGGACTCTTCATGGAGCAATGAAACAAAGGCAGTTGGCAAGTCCTTTTTTATATACTGTTACTAATCTATTACATCTTTAATGTGATATTTTTAACTCTTTCTTCAGAATTGCACTTATTATTGGGGCTTTGCAGCCTGGATGGCATATTACATCAATCACCCGTTGTATACACCACCTGGTAAGCTAAAAAAAGAATAATACCGGTTGATTAAAGAAATCCATTTGATATCTAAGAAGCTGAATATTAAATGAAGTTAATGTTTCTTTCCTTGTAATTAACCAGAAGTGTGTCCTGGGATGTGGGGTGGGGGTGGGTGGGAATCTCAAAATGGGCTTGCATAAGAATGGGTTCTGCCTAATTAATATGCTACTTACTGAATGAATGCTAATAAACTTACATAATGGTGAACCAGTCATTGGAGCTGTACAGATTTCTTGCCTTAAGAAATGGAATAAATACATAATTGAGCAGAATTCCATCTTTTTTAAAATAAAAGTTTCTAGGCCCTTTAATTTAAAATAATAGCTTAAAAACATATAACTAATGTCTGATAAAATTCTTCAGATCAGAAGCAACAGTAAATATCTGTTAAAGTAAAGCAAGATTTCCAGGATATCAAAAAGCAAGTTCCTAGTGACTCAAATAATTTCTTGAATGGAAAAATATGTAAATGTATTCTTTAGTTAAGGGGCAGGTCTATAATTTTTTCCCCTAACTTTCCAAAACTGAGGATTCCTCAGATCAAGTAAAATTTCATGTAATCTAATTTCTCGAACCTTACTTTCTTTAAATTGACTTCTGTCACAAATTCTCTATTTTAGAATTACAGTTGACATACTTTCCCTTAGAGATGCTTTCTTTATGAGTTACTGTTTTGGACTTGGCTCCTTTTTAAACAGTTCAAGTTTTAGTCTAGGTCTAGGGAGATCTCATTCGAATATTCTCACAGATATTAAAGTCATTATTTGGGCCTGTTCATTATAGGTCAGCTATACAAATCTCACAAGGTATGAAAATTAAAAGCTGATGAAAAGGAAACATACTGTATATGTCATAAAGAACTCTGTGCAGAAAACATAGGATATAGTTTGGTGCAAATTATTTCAAATCTTAATTAAAACATAACTTCATATCAAAAGTTATTTCAGATTTGAAGTTATTTTTATACATATTCTTGTTTCATTTGTATAGTACATATTTTAGCTCCTATACTTTTAAATGTGCTATTTTTATATTTTAAATAAAATAATAAGCAATAAACATTCTTTTTAACAGTTGTGTATGAAAATTTGTTTTCTTCTTCTGGTCCTAAATCTCCTTACATTAAAGGGTTCCAATGTAATGAGAAAGGAAGAAAAAAAATCCATACATCTGTACATCTTATTATGAGCCTTTGGTGAGGAATTTTTGTCAAAGGCTTTATGAAAATCCATATATACATTTCTTGCGTTAACCTGGCAACATGCTTTTTGACATCTTCAAAAATGTCTGGGTGAATCAAATTCTTTGTGCCATTTATCATTTAATTACTTAGTAAATGGCGAAAGGAAAAGAAAATTCTGATGAGATTAACTAAAGGCCTCTAGTTTATCCTTATTTTTTTCCTTTCCTTATGAATATTAACATGCTATCACACATATAACTGTATAAATGCTGTCACGAGATTCTCTTTCTTGCAGTTGGAAAATCTTGAGTTCTGTCATTGGGGAATCTTTTTTCTTCTAGGAATGTTCTAGGTGTTCCAAATGTAGTTACTCTAAAAATGTTTTTGTTCTTTTTTTTCAGCATATGGACATGAACAAGTGAAATTGGCGCTTATCATATTCCTGGTAATAATTTGTAGATTTTTGAAGCTGAGCCTTTTACCTGAAAAATGGTAGATATGTAATAGAAAATAGGCGATGTTTTAGACAGAGCCTAGGCCAACCGAAGGAGGGAAGTTTCCCCATGCAAAGTTAAAAATCAAGAAATTGTTTATCTAGAAATAAAAGGTATGACTATCTGTGGCACAGAATGCAGATTGATAAGATAATATTGGATTTTTTTTACAAACCTTAGTAATAACCTCAAATAAGAGAAAGATCGGTTACCTTTTGTAGCAATGGGAAAAAATCTGGGAGAATGGAACTAGAACTATGTATAGTAAAAATGTAGAAATGTACCTCTCTTGGTACATGGAAAGATCACAAAGCATTCTGGTTTGGGAATGGATCGTGCATCTGGTACTTATTGCCTGGAGAGAAACCTTTTTTCCCCTTACACATGTGCTCATGTCTTAAGGCCAATTTGTTAGTAGTACTCTACAGTGGTTCAAATTCAATTTGAGAAGGGGGCTTTAGACATGCAGAAATGTGAATACAGCATTTTACTGCAAGTTTTGAAGGCAGCCGTCATTTTTCTTGGACTGATCTGACTCCTACACTAGGCAGTTCTGTGATCTCAGGAAAAAAAATTGACTGCTTTCAAGAATTGCAGAAAAATGCTGTATTCATGCTGTGCAATCTTATTTGTTGATTGTATGTATATAATGCATCATAAAGAATAAGAAGGCAAATTCCGGCACCAAAGAAATTCAAGTAAAACAACAAAAGGAGAGGAAAAAGGCAGGAAAAAGAAAAAAGGCAATTAAAAAAAAGTTTATTTAGTTATGGTACTGGAAAATACTGGGTCCTAAGTCGTCTTAGAGCCAGAACTTACTTTTGAACAATTGTAGAGCATCTTATTAGTGCCAGAGCTGTTCAGTTGTTTTGGGGGAATGAGAAAAAGGGCCCAGAAGACATGAGTAATAAAAATCCCTTGTTCTTTGGCACATTAAAAGTTTTGTCTTTTCCTCCATGCAAATTTGTAACATTTCTACAAAATTATTTGAATCACGATGGAGTGAACTCTGGGAGATTTCTGTGCCACTATCTGGCTTCTATTGGTGATAGTAAGCAGCAAAAAAAAATCAATTCTTGCCCCTTCCCTGCTAACACTGGTTTTGTTTCCTATTCCAGTTATGTCAGCTGGGAAACTTTTCTATTCATATTGCTCTGCGAAATCTTCGCCCAGCTGGTGAGTACAGAGAAAAGGCCAAATGGAAGTACAGATGTCTTTATAAAAAACACCCTCTGCTCTGTAATAGGAACAGCTGACCCTTTAAATAACAAGACAGCCTTAGATGCTCAGAGGTAATCACCTGACCTCTGAAAGCCAATCAAGGAAAAGAAGAAAGTGCTGTCAGGTTTGGATAGGAAGAAAGGAAGAGTTTTGCAGTTTTCTGGGGATGGGCTGAAGCTACATCAGGCAAAATGAGAAATTATTTTGTTATGGGCTAAAACCATGTTAGAATCTTTGGTATGTATCTCTTTTTTTAACTTTTTGTCACCTTTGATGAAGGGAGACTTTTACAAGTCTAATGCTTTACTGTAACTCTTGTGTGTGTTGTTAGATGATAATTTTTTATTGCTTTTAAATTGGTTCTTTGTCTCAATAAACATTCTTATGATTTCTTCCAGGTTCAAAGGCCAGGAAGATCCCATTCCCCACGAGGAACCCATTTACATGGCTTTTCTTGCTGGTCTCTTGTCCCAATTATACTTATGAGGTATGACTGTGTTTTAGCTTTGGAACAAATTATGGACGCTTAAATCTGTATTTTATTAATGAATTCTGCTTCATAGGAAACATATAGGTATAGTGACAATATCTAGGCAAATAATCTGAAAAGCATTACTTTTATCTGTCTTTTAATTGAATGATTAATTCTTGTTGCTCAGAAGCTTCCTCCACCTTTGACTTAAATTGAAACTTCATGACAGATGGAAATCTAGTTTCATCTTGAATCATCCAGCAAAGTGGACCTGATTCCTTCTCTCAGCAATTGGTTCCACTGCTGACTTACTCATTCAGAATAGCCTTTTTCAAAAAAAAAATCAGTGATAATATCTATTCATTCCTGTAATTTGAAATCATTATTTTGCATTCTAGAATGGTAGAAAGTAGGTTGTGATCTTGTATATGATAATCCTTCAGACATTTGAGGGGAGATATGATAGTTACTTGTCTTCTCTGAAAGTTAAAAATTCTCAATTACTTGAAATCCTTATTATATAACTTCGTTTTAGTCCCTTGATCATGCTTCTTACATTTCTTTGAATCTGTTATAGTTTCTCTGAATGCTTTGTGAGATATAGTACCCAGAATCAACTTAAGAAGATATTTGATATAGTAGACACAGACTACTTCTTGGTAAGATAGAACAATGTGGGATAGAGAGCACCGTCACCAGATGGATTTGCAGTTGGCTGACCAACCACACTAAGTGTGTAATCCTCAATGCAAATACATCAATGTGAAGGGAAGTATGCAGGGTTCTATCTTGGGCCCAGTACTGTTCACAGCTTCATAAATCATCTTCAGCTGCCTAGAGTTGTTGGATACAAGATGGGCAGCAAATAAATTTAATTAATAAATAAGGCACTCATCAAATTTGCAGATGACATCAAGTTGGGGGACGAATTGTTAACCCTTTGAGGTTCAAGATCTTGACAGACTTGATCATTGGGCCCCATCCAACAAGATGCAGCTCAGTGATGAGAAAAGCAAGGTCCTGCACTTAATAAAGAAGAACCAGATGCACTGGTACAGGATAGACAGTAACCTCAACAGTATTAACTATGAGGCTCAATAGTATTAACTATGAGAGGGATCTAGGTGTTCTGGTGGATCACTGCTTAAGTATGAATCAGCAGTGTGCTGCAGTTGTCCTTGGTTGCATCAACAGAGGGATTGTATCAAGATCGTGGAAGAGATAGTATCTTTCCCTACTGTACTACTGAAGCCATATTTGGAATACTATGTCTACTTCTGATTACCAGGACACACAAAAAATACAGAGAAGAGCAACAGAGATGATAAGGGGGAGGCTAAATCATATAAAGAACAACTAAGGGAGCTTGGTATGTTTAGCCAAACAAAGAGAAGGTTTAGGCATGACATGGTAACAGTCTTCCAATACTTGAAGAGCTGTCAGTGGAAAGAGGGTGTTAATTTATTCTCCATAGTACCTCAGGGCAGAACAAGAAGCAAAGGATGAAAGTTTATTAGAGGGAAATCCAACCTGAAAATAAGGAGGAATTTCCTGACAATGAGATTCAATGGAACAGTTTGCCTCCCAGAGTTGAATACTGGAGGTATTCAAGAAAAGATTGGACAACCATTTGTCCTTGGGAAGGGGTTTGAGCTAGAAGACCTCCAAGGATTCCCTTCCTCCCTTATGATTCTATATTTCATAAATTGGATATACTGGGGTCTAACTAAGTAAAGTAGAACAATTATCTCTCATCATCTCAAACTATTATTTCTTTGATGGCCCATAAAATTGATTTTGTCCATTTTGCACTCACCTCATACTCATTCATGAGCAGAAAATATTCATTTCTGCAACCTATCAAGATTGTTTGAAAATTATTAAGTTACCCCAAGTAATTTTTAAAAATGGAAGAATAAAGAGAGCCCATTTTGGACCCCATTAAATGTATCGTTCTGTTCTTTGAAGTTGTTTTTTGAGAAGCTGTGTATCCACTTGTCATGTCATCCCATTCACACTTAACTATCTTGTTAATCAGAATGTCATGGGATACTCTGTGAAAGACTTGGCTGAAGTCAAGATACATTAAATCTATAGCATTCCCAGATTGGCTAAGAAAATTACCCAATAAAAGAATGAGATAATGTTAGTGTGATGAAACTTGTTCTTACCAAATTCATGCAAGTGTCTTTTAATTATTTTAATTATTACCTTGTTTGCAATGTATTTTTTAATTTATCTCTTTAAGATCAGCTCTCAGATCTTCCCACCTATTAGACTAGTGTGTAATCCCCTGGATCCTTTCTCCTTTCCTGAAATAGGAACACATCTAAGCTCATTGAGTCATATGCCATCTGTTCTGTAGAATTTCTCAGAGTTCAGCCTGTCCATCAGCAACATTTTTCACATCCAAATGCATTGCATTTTAGGAAATATGAAAGGTGTGCTCATTTGAAATGAATAGATACTGGCTGATAATATATTTGTCAGCCTCAAGCTTCAGTCCTCTGTTCATACTGTCTTTACATTTAATAGTGGAAGACACATAACCTTTCTTCTTGGAAAAATGGAGACAAAATAGGAGCTGAGTAATTGTTGATTTTTTTGCCATTTTCACTGAAAAACTGATTTTGTTCTCCAGTGTCTCCTCCTACTTTGTTGTTTTTTATTTTGAACAGCCCTTCAGTTGCTAAGTCTTAATATATAACTGATGCCAGGGCGTCTGTGCTATATTTATTTAATCATATTTTTCTTCTAGTACTATGGCTCACATGGTTCATTTTCTACTCTTCTATGCATTAGTGCATAGGTAGTGAAAGCTATGAGGCATTGTTTCTGGTGTGAATCTGATTTATCATTCTAGTTTGATGTTGTAGTTAAAGCATCAAGCTAGAAACCAGGAGATTGTGAGTTCTAGTCCTGCCTTGGCACAAAGCCAGTGGGTGGTCACTTTCACTCAGCCCTAGAAAAGAGGCAGTGGCCAAACATTTCTTAAAAACATTGCCAAGAAAACCAGAGGCACTTGTCCAGGCAGTCTCTGAGAGCAGGACAGATGGAAGAAAATAAATTACACCAATATTTTACTCTCTACAGTGTGTACGTTTTTATTTTAGGTTTTTATTTCTAACATCCATAGGATTCAGTTTAAATCCATACCAATAAATTTTGCTTTGTTTCAACCAAAAGTATTTTTACCAGCCCTTGTGATACCGTCCATATCATATCAACAGTCAGTCACCCAGACAATTCAGCCCATGGTTCTTGAAAGCAAATTTCTCCTATCGGCATGAATGAGAACACTATAATGGCTCCAGGGTCTTGAGCATTTTTATTTGATTTTCATTAGGATTTGTTTCTAATAGTACCATTTGTGCTCACATATATTAGAAGGAAGAGATAACTGTCAATGGACTTGAGTTGATTGGTAGTTATTCTGTCACACATCTTTGTTCACTCAACATACTCTTACTGTACATGATGGCATTGATCACACTTCACAAGTCAGCATGTGTGGTTGGCATACAATCGTTTCAATTTCAATTTTTAATAGTCGGCCACCAACTACATAACTGTTCTTATCTCTGCCCCTTTCTTTGATCTTAAGGCAGGAATTCAGTAGCAATATGTTACAAACATTATAGATTACAACAGCAGTCAATTCATTTTTATTTTTTAAGATTCCATCAGTACAAGGCGTATATTTTATTTGTATTATTTGTGTGTGCATTGTTTTGTTTGCATATTGTTTACTTGGATACCAAATTTATTAGATATTTAATAACATATCCCACTTAATCAGCAGACTCAAGTTGCCTTACAATACTCTCAAAACAATAACTATAAAATACTAAAAATTAACTTCATATACTAAAAATGACCTTGGAACTTCTTGTTAAACCCCCCTGGCAAAGTCCCATTTCTTCTACATTTTTCTCACTCTGGTTTTGCAGAAAGAAATAACTTTGGTTTCATGGTGCTAAAAATAGTACTTATACTTAAGCTAAGAGAGTACAATTTGTACTACAAAATCTTCAGGCCTGTTTTGACACTGATGGTTGTACTCATGTGAACATTGCTACTTGTCTTTTAAATTGAGAATAGGATAGGTATTTCCTTCTACCTACACACTAATCTACCATATAGATGGGCTAGAAAATTTATGGGAAAGTTTTCAGTGCAAGTACAGAGACACAGTTGGGATTTGTGCATGGGTTGGGTCTTCATCCTTCAAAGTAGGACTGTGCTATATGTTTACTCTAGCTGAAGAATGCAATGCTCAAGCCTAGAAAGTCTTAATATTTTTCTTGACGTAGTCTTGATGCTTTCTTTTCCAGGTAGGGTCTTGGATTGGCTTTGCCATAATGACTCAGTGCCTTCCAGGTAAGTCCTGGTAATAGGTTAGATCTTTGTTGGAGTCACTTTTAATAAGAATTTTATTAAGCAATGATTATGAAATATGGTTATGTATTTTTATTCTTTCTGGCCCTTCCCAATTTTTCTATTAGAACTGTTCTTTATTGCCAAGTAGATTAGGGTCTATGAATTTAAAACAGGAGAAATATCTTGCCCCTTTCAGCAAAGATCCACATAAGATTACAAGAGCTCAGTAAATTACAGCTTCTGTGTTAAAGTAAACTTCATCCCTTTACTAAGAGGGATGCCAGCAGCTATGCACTCTTCTGCTTAATCTCTTTCTTCATTGCCTTTACTTTGTTTTACCAAGGCACACAGGAGTTGAAGATGTTCTCATTCATTATGTAGTGTAGGAAATAATGAAAGATGCTGCCACTTGCTAGAATAGTAAACCTGAAGGCTACCTCATATTTTACAAAATCTATTTTCCATTTGTTAGGGATGCTTTAGCTCTGGAGTATCTATATTAAACAATGGGCAAAATTAGATGGTATTCCCCAAGACAAGTATCCAATGTAATATAAGATCTTTGGTAGTATTTTCTATTTTCGTAGTCTCCTCTTTAAAAGATGTACAGCTAGTCCTTAACTTATGACAACAATTGAGCCCAAACTTTATGTTGCTAAGTGAGACAGTTAAGTGAATTTTGTCCTATTTCACGACTTTTCTTGCCCCGGTTGTTAAGTGAATCATTGCAGGTGTTAAGTTAGTACCACCGTAGTTAAGTGAATTTGGCTTCCTCCTTGACTTTGCTTATCAAAAAGTTGCAGAAAGTGATCACATGACCCCAGGACACTGCAATCATCATAAATTTGAACTAGTTGCCAAGTGTCTGAATTTTGATTATGTGACCATGAGGATACTGCAATGATTGTAAGTGTGAAAAATGATCATAAGTCACTTTTTTTCAGTGCTATTGTGACTCTAAACAATCACTAAAGAAACTGCTGTAAGTCGAGGACCACCTGTAATACATTTGGCAAAGGAATCAATGTTAAATGTTTTAATTTTTTTCTGTCTTTCTGCCCAGAGAGAGGCTGCTTTTCTGAATATCTAATAACATTACACACTTTTTTGTTTGTCAACAGTGGCTCTGTTTTCCTTGGTTGGATTTATTCAAATGACCATTTGGGCAAAGGGAAAACACCGAAGTTACCTGAAGGAGTTCCGAGATTACCCACCCCTACGTTCGCCTATCGTCCCTTTTCTGCTCTAAGCCTCTTTCTGCACTAACATATCAAACTAGGCTGGTAGCTTCATTTTTTTATCTTCTTGAGCAGCTGTTAATGGAGTCTAAAACAGGGGTTTTTTTCACTGTCCACAATGGTTTTTTTTGGGGGGGGGGTTGCAATTCCTTTCTTTTTAAAGTTAAATTGCCCCTTCCTCCATCATCTTTGTCCATTGTCCCTATTCCAAAACCACATTTGACTTAGAATAACACTTCCCTACAGTTACCATGAAGCCAAATACTGCAACAAGAACAGAGGGAACAATTCAGTTTTACAGGGTGAAAAGTTGAACAGCTGCTAGGCATAGGCATTATATTTGTAAGAGCAGGTACCATAAATGGAGCCTTGGCAACTGGACTTTGCCAAAAGTGAGGTCAAGGAATAGCAATCTTAACCCTAGTCCTTATTAATAATAATTTTAGAAAAGTTGTCCACTGCGTTTGTCCACTTTGGATATGAAAGCGTAAAAGTGCCTTGGAATGCATTGTGCCATTCCTAAACCAAATGTGTCTTTCCTGGGATGGAAAGACCCAGGAAAAGGCATGGTTGCATTAAGGAGTTGCAGACTGATGCAGTCATCATGGCCCTATGTGGTACAAAACACTGTTTTTCATTTACATTTGCATTCAAAGCACAGCACAGCCTATTAATTCAGTTGTGGTAAATATTATTGCTATTTTTATTGTGGAGTGATGCTTGGTACTAAAAAATTGTAAAAAAAAAATTTCTGGAGGGAAATAAACTAAGATCAGTGGCAATGATAACTTCTCTTTTATAGGATGGTCTTGTGTCCCTTTTTAACCCTTGTTCAACTAGCAGGCATTTGTGCTTGAAACCAAAATTGAAAATGGCTCAACTGAATGACATTACAAGTAATTTCATAAGGGCAGAACACATTATTTCATCATCTGTTATAAGCTAAATTATGACATGGCAAATTCCCTGCTGTGAAGAAAAGGAAACCAATTAGTTATGAAGTAGTAGCTTTGGTGTTACGTAGGTTGTTTCAGTCCTGACCACCATACAAATTGGCCACTTGTCATCCACGTGTTTTTCCTTTTCCTAGTAGAATCTTATGAACAACATCTTCCAAGTAGAGATGTATACTTGAAGTGACTCAGTTTTGTGTGATGGTAGGCTTTTTTTAGTTAAGAGGTTCTTGAAATGCAGGACTAACAAATACAGTCTTGTACCTAACTAGCAATAATTGTGTAACTTTCTGTAACACAGGCCCACTGAAGGGCAACTATGGAGATATACTAGTGAAACTTTGATTTAATGGATCAGATGATGAAAGGAAGTGTTTCTTCTAGTTGTCCATTAAATGGAAGAATGATCAATACCAATATAGTTAGATAAATGCTACAGATTGCATCATTTGAATCACTTACTCAATTTGTATATTTACAAGTGCACTGAGCAATTTGGGGGTGGGGGAGAAGTCTGCTTTGAAATTTGTAAATATTTCTAGCACTTAAGAGATAAGGAAACAAATATTTATTATTCCTTCTATAAAAATATTCAGTGTTACAGAACTGGTGTCAGCGTTCCAGAAAAACTCGACTCCAACAGAGTCTAACTTCTGGTACTAATATGGCTTCCAAAGCTGATAACTGAAGCCTCTTAGGTTTGGACTGTCTTCTTGAGAGGAGGTTGTTTATTTTTCTGTTTGTCATTATTACCAAGATTGTGATAGTGCATGCAGGTAGTCTTTGGAGTATGATGGCAACTGGGAAGTGGGATTGCCATTCCTAAGCAATGTAGTTGCAAAGTGTAACATCAGGTGGCCACACCGCTTAACGACGACAATTCTAGGAACCCCACTTGCTGTCATTGATACGCAGGTTAAGTGGGAAGTGGTAGGAATTTCACGTAAGGACCAGAATGGGAAGCTGGGAGGATTGGTGCAGGTTGTGATTTGGAGGAGGCTTAGGGGGGTGGAGAGTGGTTGGGGCAACAGACTGTGAGCGTAAGAAGGTTGTGGGATACACGATGTGGCAAGAAGGCTGGGGGACTTACTAAAATAGCATGCAACCTTCCTCGCTGGCTTCCCCATTGATTTTGCTTTTGGGAAGCTAGTAGGGAAAATTGTAAATGGCAATAATCTGAAAACAGGATGCTGCAATTGTGGTAATACAAGCAGTTGCCAAGTCCCTGAATCATGATCACATGACCATGGAGCACTGCGAAGGCTAGAACTTCAAGGATTGGTCATAAGTTCCACTTGTTGAACGCCATTCCAACTTCAAATGATTTTCTGAATGAGTGGCTAGTAAATGAGGACTACTTGTGTATTTAATTTGAAGGAAGCCCCATTTGAAGTAGAGTGGAACTCGATTCTAAACATATATGTTCACAATCAAGATGAATGTTTATCATAGTCTTAGGTTATGCTGCATGTGAGCAGTGATATCTGAAACCTGGGCTCCGAGGCTGCTATTAAATGAGCCACTGACTTTTTGCTATAATCCATTTTATGTGGAACTTTATTTAAACTAACCAATAAAAAATAATCCAGCCACTAGACAGTCTCAGATTGTTTTTTTAAAGCATGGAATTATACATTGAAGGACTTTTTTCACACATTGGGGAAGACTGCAGGTAAGAATGGACATCTCTATTATATTTGATATATCACTTCATTAGAAATTAATTGGACCAGAAACTATATAATCTTATATGGACATTGGATTCCTAACAAATTATACAGTAGTTGCATAAGGAGAATGGGACTGCTTACTGGCTAGGAAAATTTAAAGTTAGGATTTGAGAGTCTTGTGCGACTTATCTTACAAATTGCAACTGGAGGTTGACCACAGAATTGGGCTCCCCAGTTCAGATTCGCTCACTTTGATATGTAGACCAGGTAATAGGATGAGCAGAGGAATCATAGGCCATAAAATATTATTCTTTCATGTGAAAAAATGATACATCAGGTAAGACTGACTATAAATATAAACACATTGAGTGAAAAACTTCTCGCCAATGAGCTGTATTTCCAAATAAATATTTTGAACACCTATATTTTGTATTATCTCATCCTCACCTGCCAATAGTACCCAGCAAAATACCTTTGGGTGCTCAAGTATTGTGGGATGATTGCACCTCATGTTGTACTCGGCTATAGATGAGCTTTTACCTTCAGAACTAACTAAACACGAGTAAAATTGGATAGAACAGTATCCCCCATTCCCAGAAGCCTACCCAGTTGAAGGATGGGATAGAAAAAAGAATCCTTGAAATATACTGTACATGAAAAGACTCATTTGAAAGAAAATTCATCCCACATGACTTCTCCCTTTGAAAAATCACACAGAATTCATCAAACAGTAAATTGGCGGAAGCATAATTGTGAATGTTTACACAAGATGAGAAATGCAGCTTGGACATACTACACAAGAAACTTTCAAGGCCACATGCAATCTACTTATAAGCACAGCAGCTGCATGACTGGACTTACAGCAACTTTGCCATCACCATTAGTAATATCCCATGTTTTGGTTCTGCTGTCAACTATAGCCTGTATTACTGCTCAGCCTGAGTACTTGGGTGCTCCTTCCAATTAGTCCCAGAGGTCTTTGGAGGGGACTAGGTGGAATATTTGGTCTGATGCAGATACCTTTCTCAACTACTGGTTATATCCTTGCTCAGCTGGGTAAACATACTGGCTTTCTTAATGGCCTATCAGTGCTCTTACCAAATGCCAGATTGGGGAATAATAAAATCTGAGCATCCGTTACAATGGTGCAGAGCTTCTTCAGCCTCTACTGTACATTTCCATTAGCTAGGCTATGCAACAGGTTGTGAGATAGCTAAAAAGCAGATGGAGGGAAACCTCTCAAATTTGATCAAATTCCAGACTACTGAATATTTTGGTGGAATACATGAAGAGACTTTCCTTCCACTTTGCATCCTTTCAGTGTCATCTAATGGAGCTTTTCTCCATTTTTGGTTTGGCATAACTAGAGTCATTTTATTTGTTTCCCACCTTTATTATTTTTATATAACTCAAAGTGGCAAACATACCCAACACATCTTCCTCCTCTTATTTTCTCCACAAGAGGTCTGTGAGGTGGGTTGAACTGAATGTGTGACTGGCCCAAAGCCACCCAGCCGGCTTTCATGGCTAAAGCGGACCTTGAACTCATGGTCTCCCACTTTCTAGCTTAGTCTTTGAACTAATAAACAAACTGGCTCTAGATACAGGAAGCCCTCAACTCATGACCATAATTGACAGTATTCAGCTAAGTCCAGTTCATACCTGTCTTATTATAAGGAGTGATCCCTCATAGAAAGATGCCATTCATTTTTTTTTAAGTCTCAATATTAGCTAGGGACAAATTCTGATCAAAGTATTAAGTGTATGGTGACTGATTATAGAGTCAGACAAATGAAATAAATTTTCCAGGTCAATTCAGTATGGGCTTTGACTCTGTTTTAGCATTGAAACTATTTCAGTTGCTCTGTGGATGAGCTTTGCCAAGGGAGAGATAGTGAATAGTACCGTGTTGATTCTGCCACACTTCTCAATGGCTCCTAACTCCAGCAATCATGTTAAACTTCTGGGAGAAGTTGTCTGAACTTGATATAGGTGGAACAGCCTTAGAATGGATCCATTTATTCATGGGTGGTCATCTCCAGAAAGTATTGTTGGAGGATTTCCGCTTACTCCATGTTGCTAATATTATAAGGTTCCACAAGATACTACCCATGTTTCCCCGAAAATAAGACCGTGTCTTTTCTTTTGGGCCCCAAAATAAGCACTAGGGCTTATTTGGGTTGGGGGAGGGGTCTTATTTTTTTTCTACATATGGGAAGCCCACTTCTGCTTGCTCATGGAGAAGCCAGGGTGTGTAGAGCTGCCTCATGTGCTCCGCAATGGCTTACCTCAGAGCCCCCACAGCCAGGCCATCCATGCCTCGCCTCATGACCAAGGTACTCACACATTGCTCAGCCTCCTGCTCCGTTGCGGCTGTAAGCAAGCGGAAGTGCTGGGCCGGTGGCCATGTGGACTCCTGCTACACATGGTTGGTGGTGCTGCCGTTGCGAGGCAGGTATTGGGGCATGGAGCCCTGAGGTAAGCCAGTGCGGGGCACGTGGGCAGCTCCCACCTTGCCTCATGGCTGTGAAACCATGAGCAACCAGATGTAATGGGTGTGTGGCCAGCTGTGCAGGCTCTTAAGTAGGACTTATTGTGTGGGTAGGACTTATATTAGGTGCACATGTAAATATGCTAGGTCTTATTTTTGGGATAGGTCTTATTTTCAGGGAAACTTTCTCAAGTCACTGAAGGTGTACAATATAGAGTATGTGGATAATATATAGTAGTGATGACACATACTTTATTTCCTTTGTCACTGAAGTAAAGCATTGGCATTGCTAGTCAGTGCCTGGGTATAGAAATTGATTAGCTGAAGCCAAAAAATAGATGTTCAGTCCAGACAAAAGACATAGCGTTCACCTGGAAGATCTAATTCATAAGAGATGCTTCTGTATCCATCTTTGACATTACAAGCATAATTATCCTCTGTAGCACAAATGGCATGTGGCACCTTCATCAGTTCAGGCTAGTATATCAGTTATGACTGAGATAGCCTCACTACAGTAATTTATGTCCTGATTCTACTAGGATGTTCAATGTTTCCTTCCTGGAAACAAATGTTTTAAATAAATAATAAAGTAATTCAGTCAGGATGTACAATCTCCAGACCTGCAGCCCAAAATGTTCCACTATTATTTCTTATTTCACATGAGGCAGAGCAATTCTTGGGTATTTAGCATAATCGACTGCCCTTTGGACTCCAGCACTCATCATTTCCAAAAGTTCCAACTTTTGTAAAAGGAATTTTGCTTGTGTATGAAGAGATGTAAATGCATAGAATGTAAACAAATGTAACATTCAGAAGCCACTGCCTTCATCCAGAATGAAACTGCAAGCTTACGTTGATGAATACAGAGAAAATATAAAAGTAACTAGATTATACAGTTCCATCTGAACTTAACTAGACACATTTCATTGGCACAATTGCCAGAACTCGTAATGCAAGATTAGGACTCCCAACAAGAAGATACTTACAGATCCTTGGCATTTATGAACATTTATTAGCGTAGGTCCAAGATGTGCATTCATTCATTTCGTTGTAGGAATCACAGTGAACATCTGAGACCCAACTGTGACATAATGTTTTTTATTGTTTTCAATATAACAAGTCCAGAAGTTTCTTTTAAGAGGGAGGAGAAGCACCCCAAATTAATTAGGCTTCTATGGTAATTTTCGCCTGTTCTTCGATGCGCTTCTTCCTAGCCAGCAAACGCCGTTCTCGTTCAAATTCTTTCATGCGCATAACATAGCTAACACAAAGGATACAAGTAATAAGTCAGTCCAAATCTTTTGCCCTACTAAACCAGGCTTTTATTGCTGCATGTTAATTGGCTTGAATGCCATAATTTTATTTCATATTTAAAATATCAGACATTTTATCACTGAGGCAGATTGCTCCCCAGATTTATCTTCTACAATCAAGGTTTTAGTGTGGTATTTTTCTTAAAGTTCTTTACGCATGCTAAAGAAGAATAGAATTAATTAATTAATAATTATTTATAAATAATTATGCTCACGCACATAATTTTGCTTAGGTCAGTGATTACGGCCCTTTTCCATCCGGGCAAAGTGCTTTAAAATTAAATCAAAGTGCTTTAAAATTAAATTGTTAGCGTTAAGATAAAACTACTTGGTTGACTATCATGATCTCTTTCATACTCATATCATGGTAGCATTTATAATCTCCCATCCCACCCCAATATCTTATGCTACTTTTTTGAAGACTTGTTGAATTTTTGAATTGTTGAACAGACACATTTCATAAAGGAATTACAGGGATATTTAGAGGCATTACTTCTAATCCAGGGTAGTTTCTAATCCCTGAAACACAGTTAATTTACAGAATGAAGAATAAAGGACAAAATATAGCAACCAAGCAGATAAAAGCCATAGCTTTGACTTACTCCAGATGCTCACAGTAATTCCACTCATGTGCCTCATGTTTGCACCCATTGATTGAAAAAGGATATTTGTCACGTTTGCACTTCATCCACATTATGTAGTGATGAGCACAATAATCCCGGAATTTGTAAGGAATCTGGGCATCGTTCATCTCTTGATGTGTTGCCATCATCACTGTAGGAGAAAATGGAAGGAGGAAAAGATGGAAAGGGAGATTAAAATCTAAATGGAAGTTCTTCAAGAACCACCATTTGGAATTCTCTGACAGATGCTGTAAAAGCTGCTTTTGAAAGCATGTTCAGTAAGTTACGTTCAAGAACCTGTTCAATTAAAATTTACAAACCACACTAATCTGATGAGGAATTATTGATGAGTGTTCTTTGAGTAACATATTGAAATCAGACATGCAATCATTCAGTTATGCCATTCAGCCCATGCTTAATCAGCTTATTAATAAGAATGTCATAAGGTATTTATTAAGTGCTTTATTGTATCATGTCTCTATCACTCCCACAATTTATTAAAGAAGTTACTCAATGGTAAAAAAGTTAAATTAGTCTGTCAAGAAGTACTTTTCAAAGTCTTTATTATTGACTCGGGTGAAAAAGCTTATACAAAATTGGTAGCTAATATCCTAGGAAACAAAAGCATTTTGAGCATTTTGCAAAACTTTCTATAACTGCGATCTACTAAACAGAAATTAAGAAGAAGCAAGGACCAAGCATGTAAAGAATACACTTACCCTTTGACTTTAGGAGCATGGAAGTTGAATATTTTGGAGAAAATCAAACTACTGATTATAATTGTATTTAAATATGTCTTCCTGTCCTTTGCATTTTTAAAATCCTTTTAAAATTAGATTTTATACAAAAATGTTTACCACTTGAGTTGTTTTTGTGCTCTATTCCGTAACAGCATTAGCATATTTTGCTGATAAAAATGCACTTGAGACCTACTCAGCATTATCAGATTTCTGAATTGTAATACTAACGTTATTATATTATCACTCATTTCCTTCAATAATTTTTTTGTCAGCCACTGATGCATCGTTATGAACTAGCTAACTGGTGATGAACAGGAATGAAGGTAGAAGCAACAAGTAAGCTCTGGCCCAATGACTCGGGTTAATATGGGGCGGACTATCTAATGGACCCCACAGACCACTAAAAATGAGCAGTTTGAGAACCATTGGATTAGAGAAATGGCTAAATGTAATAGGATGAAATTTAACATAGACATATGCAAAATTTCACTTATGAGAAAGATGAACAGATATAGATGGAGAATAGTTCTAAGAGTATTTGTAAAAAGATTAAAATAGTAGCCAGTTGTAAACTGATCAATAGCCAGGAATTACAAAAAAAGGCAAATGAAATTTCAGATTGCACCACCAATGACAAAAGCATAATTTCCAAATCACAGGAAAGTTTTTCCAGCTTATTTTGCATAGATCAATTCCTACCTCACGATATAATGTTCAGTTTATGTATCACACTTAATCCAAAAATATTGGAAGAGGTTTAGAGAACAGCAACAGTAGTAATAATCGGGGGACTAGAAATTAAGTGCTATGAAGAGAAATGGAAGGAGCTGAATAATCTTGGAAAAGAGAGCCAAAGAAGAGATGTGATATATTCTCCAAATGTATCAACAGATGTCAAATCAAAGGCATCATATGTGTATTTCAGGCAGATATATATCATTGCCTTAACTCTGTATATAACTGGAGTGCACCCAGGATATTTTGTAGTATGATCCTATTACTGGCTGTATAGATGAATTACAGAAGTTTCTAACCAGTTTTATTGACAGGAGAACAATAATTTGTCAATACCAAGGCTAGTAATCAATTTCATTGTGCACAATGACTCATTATCTTTCAGCCCAAATTATTTCAAAGACTTGTGAGGATGTAAACATAACTGAGCAGGTGTGGCTGTGAGAAAGGATTCACATTGAATTGTGGCAGGAATTTCTTCCATTGTTTCTGTTTGCCAGATATGTTCTAGAATGGGTGCATTCCAGGTCCTTCTATTAAAGATTGCCATCTTGTATGATCTAGATTAGAAAGTGCACCTTTTCTGTAAAGCCTTCCACCTTCTGGAACAGTGTCTCCAGATATGGAGAGCACCCTCTCTCCTGGAGTTCTGAACAGCCCAGAAAACCTGCCTTTGCTCTCAGGCCTGAGGTTAATGTATTGGGAGGGGAGGGATCTTTGTAGTTTGTTTGGATGGTTGTTTTTAGTCCAAGCTGTCTTGTAAATTTTGTTTAAATTGTTTTGATGTAATATTATATTTTGCAAGCTACCTAGAGTCCATTGGACTGGATTAAATGTATTTATAATAGAAGTACTAGAAGATAGTAAGCATCTAATGGATGCCCCAAATACCACCACTTAGTTCTCATTTTCGACAGAAATCTGCAGACGGAATTGGCTGTGGAGATTCTCAGACATCCAGGTCATGGTTGTCCCAAAGGTGCTTTCTGAAGAGGCAACTGGACTTTCTGGTTTCTCTTTGAAGACATTTCGCTTCTCATCCAGTGCTGAAGAAGCTTCTTGAATGAGAAGCGAAACGTCTTCGAAGGAGAACGAGAAAGTCCAGTCGAGTGGCCTCTTGAAAAAGCACCTTGGATGCAGATGGAATCCCTCGGGTCCCCGTCAATGCATTGATTAAGGGGCGATCCTCTCCTGAGAGCCAGAAAAAAACCCATGCATCGCTCGCCTACTTTTGTCTCGTGCGAAAAGGTAGGCTGAGTGAAGAACTGGTCCCCGGTTACTCCACTTCGTGCTTCTCAACCACACCACACCGATTTAGCTCTCAGCGGCACATAAACTACGCCTCCCGTAGGCAAACCTTGAATTACACCGTCTTCGGTCTGATTTAAGCATGGTATATAAAATCATACATTGCAATGTCCTACCTGTCAATGAATACTTCAGCTTCAACCATAACAACACAAGAGCACACAATAGATACAAACTCAAAGTAAACCGCACCAAACTTGATTGCAGGAAATACGACTTCAGCAATAGAGTAGTCAATGTCTGGAATACTCTACCCGACTCTGTAGTTTCTTCCCCAAACCCCAAAAACTTTAACCTTAGACTGTCTACTATTGACCTCACCCCTTTCCTAAGAGGTCTGTAGGGGGCGTGCATAAGTGCACCATCGTGCCTACCGTCCCTGTCCTATTGTTTCTCTTATTCTTTTATTTTTCTTATATGTACCCATTTCATGTATTCACAACTATGTATACACTTATACTTATTATCTTGTAAACAATTGGCAAATCAAATAAATAAATAAATAAAAACCGGCTGAGAAAGAGGCAACCGGGGGAACAAACTCCACGCCGTGTCCCATGGGTGGCCGATGGAAAGGGGAAAACAGAATCATTCCGAGAGGGAAGCCGGTGGAGGACACGGCCGGAGTTACCAAAAGAAGAAGAAGGGGGGAAAGAGGGGGGGCAGGAGAGGCTGCGTGATCAACGTTTCGCAACAGCTCCGCAGAGCTGCCGGCCGCCCAGCCCGGGACTCTCGGAGCCACAAGGGCGGAGCTCAGCGCGGGGTGACCTTCCTTCTTCGCGACCCGCTCCGGCGCTGCTCACCGCGTTCCTTGCGCTCGGGGAGGCCGAAGTGGGGATCGAAGGTGGGCAAGGCGGAAGGGTCGGGCTCCACCTCCGAGTCCCCCAAATACCGGCGGCCTAAATGGGCCCCCATCTCCGCCAAGCACTCTGCGCCCTGCTTCGGCTGGCTTCCGTGGTTTGCTGCTGTTGGGTGTTTTTTTTTTTTTCCCTTCTCCCACCCGGAACCGGAACAGGGCGCGGAGTCCGCTTTAAAAGCGTTCGGCTCTTGGAAACGCTGAGGGCTCCATCGCGGCCTTGGCGCGTCACGGCCGGAGCTCCCGGCAGTTGGTTGCCGATGAAACCACGGCGTGGGCTTTTTATTTCCCAAGTGCTGCGCGACAGACAGACAGAAAACTGCAAGGCAGAGTTTACATTGCGGCTGCATGCAGATTCATCCGATTGGAGAGGAGTGGGGGGTGGAGAAATGAATCCCGAATCGCAGTGCATTTTTTAAAAAATTCCAGTGAATTATTTATTTCTTTTCATTTGTCCACATTTAAACTTTTGCCCAGACAAATCAAAGTGAACATGCTGTTTGTTATCCTTATTATCCGCGTGTTAGAGAACGGCGTGAAAAAAAAAATGTCATGCATTGCCGATCGAGAGTCCGATTTGTGTTGGAAGT